TGTGAGCCTGAAACAACAACAATGTACTGCTACTTTAAGAATCACATTAAGCAATGATTCATAAAATAGTGGCATCTCTTTTTCAGGGTTGCACAGAAACTTTAAAAAATTGGATTGCTTTAAAGAACAGTAGAGAGGTGCTGTATTCATATATCTTGGAGATTCCAAATTTCTGAAGCATGCAAAGCCTTAATAAATAAGATTTCTTACCCTGATCAAAACAAACCAAAAAACCTCTTGATGCTTTGGTTCCTAATTCCATTAGGCCCATAACAAATAGTTCATTGTTACATTTCATAGCATTTTTTAATCTTAGAGGGGTGGGGGTTTGTACAGGACATATTTATACACAAGAAACTAGAAACAACTTCACTGTATATAAATGTGCTAGATATTTCCCTGAAATGAACTAATAAATCAATTGTAATTATAACAATGATCTTGAATCAAAATAGAAATATCAATTCCATGTGATTTCTACTTGTCAAGGCAGTTTCAAAATACATATTATATATTACCCAGAGGAATGGAATTTGATGCTATTTATACTGTAATCACAAATGGTTTTAGATTTATATTTTACACTTATTACATCAGTGCAAACCTTGTGTTCCTTTTATCTGTGTCTTGGAAAGACATTTCTGTTATATTTTATGGGATGCTATACAAGACTTATAGAACAATGCTGCTAAAATAGATGTATATCACTTAGGAGTCACTAAAATCCTTTTTGTGTAAGAAAAACATTCTTTACAAGAGTTCATGTAACAAAATATGCAGTGTGGACTGCTTTGGTTCAGGATTCCAAATACTCAGTTCCATTCCATTTCTTTTTATCCTAGCTTTATTTTTCCCCTCTACCACATTTAGTATTTTATATCCACTGATCATGCTTAGTTCTTAATGGATTTCTTTGTGATACCTATGTCCAGCTCTCATTCCATTCCAAGGGATATTTAAAAATAGCTGGTCAGAATGAATTGGGAAATGATCTATTTGGATAAATATAAAACAGACCAAAAAGAACTATTTATCACTCCTTCCATTCTGTTCTCCCTCCATCTACTTTTTAGCTCTGCCCCTTAAAAGTTATTCAGCATTTATTGGATAACTGAACTTGCTGTCTGTATTGGGTTGTTTCTGGGTATATTCTTTCATCCAATTCCCCCCCCCTTTTTTTTGCCTTTTTGCAGACATGAAATTTTCTCACATTTGTTTGTAACTCTATAATGCAAATTGCATTATTTTGGCTACAAAACCCCATCACACAAATACTTTATATGAGGAAGGATTCATAAATGTGTATATCAAAGTATGTTTGCAAACATTTTGAAAACAAAACTAATTGGATACTCTCAGTGCAGTTCACTCAAGAGGGCACATGAATCATGTAAACAGATTCTCTAATATATGAATATTCTATGTAGGCTTGCTATATAGAAAATTAACATTCTTTTTCAATAGCAAACTTTGATCTTGCTTATTCATTTAGAATGCTTATTCATTTAGAAAAGAGAAGCAAATTTATGTCTAAATATTTGGGGTAACTAGGTATATTATACATCCATTCTGGAATTTAAAATAATTATGGGGAATCAGCTAAGATCTGATTCAACTTTGCAATTCAATTGTAATCTTCAGTTTGAATATGAAATTCAATTCAAAGAATTAGTTGCCTTAAATAATGTATATACATGCACAAAGGTATATCACATCTTCAAATAAATTCAAAGGTATCTGATTCAATGATTCAATTCAATAATGTAAGCCAAAATATTCAGGTCAAAGGTTGTATAGCCATAAGGTATAGCTTGTGAAGAACCTGCAAATTTCCAGGGTAAAAGGCATTTGAAGCAGGAAAAATAAAACTAAGTAAGTTGAGAAGAGTGAGTGAGAAGAAGAAACTTCTTGAAAATTGGGGTGAGCTATAAGCCTTGAGCAGAAAAATCTCTTTCCACTAAATAGGGATATATTTGGGGTGTGGGATGGCAAATGGCTCTTGCAAACCTTGTAAGATATTGTAAGATCAACCTGTTTGTGCTATCCAGATGAAAAGATTTCACAGTGTTCAACACAGTATTTCTCAGATTTGCAAATTATCAGAACAATTATTACAAGATGGAACACATTTCAACTAATATTGTGCCCAAAGGTTTTCTCCCCCACAAAATAAGTCTCTTTTTTCTACCTCATTGTCAGAGTGTTTTCAAATCTCTGTCTCTTCTTTTTAAGTTGGCTTCACTGTTTAACAACATTTTGCAACCTATCTGGGTGCACGCTTCTCCTGATCTGAAAAAAGCCCCTTGGAGGAAATGTTTCTATAAAGTCTTCCACTAAATTTTAACTGAAGCTGGGGAACCTGCAGACTGCTGTAGGAATGGTTGGACAATGAAAGTTAGGATATTAATATAACCCCCACAGCTATCTTGTAACTGCAAGAAATATAAGAAATCTGACTTCAACCTTGTGAGAATTTCATCAATTTCTTCTTTGACAAATAAATAGAAAGTTATCTATTTTCATCAAATTGAAGGAGAACAGTTGAAATTTTTTTATTAATAATTTTGGGCTCAGCAGTAACTTCAACTAGATATTTAAGTCCAGTGAACCTATGTACTGTACAACCTTACAAGTATCTTGATTGATGTTTCTAGCTTAAAAATATATATTAGGAGTTCAAATATACTTTAAATGAGAGAAGTGTGAAAGTGAAAAACAGCTGTTTTAAAACATGAATATGGATGCTCTCACTAAACTTCTGTATTGGTTTTGGATTTCTGTTTATATTTTATTCATTTATTTACTTAAAAATAAAGTTACCTAAAATGTACAAAATTATGCAAAAATGAATGACAAGACATTCTGCTTAAATACTTGAACTCTTCAATACAATATTAAAATATATGACTTTTTAAAAATACATTGACAAATTATGGTTATGTAAGAACATTTGTCCATATTAAATGCAATGTTTTGCTTTTGTTTTTGTGTTCCTCCTTAGGGCAAAAATAATTCTTTTCTGTTCTGGGAAGTAAAATGATTAGCAAGCACCAACCCCCAACTCAACCTGTTCACCTCAGAGAAATAAATTCCTGGTATCCAGTAGATCACCATAAGTAAATAAATGAAATATAATCAACAAATCCATAATTGTAGGTTAAGTATTTTAATTCATGGAAATTGCTGTGCTTTTCTCTAAACTGAGCTGTTCTTGCTTCATTGAATCCTTCTTTCTGTAGTCTTCAAGGGCATCTTTCAATGCCAGTACAAAAGCTGCAGTGGTCCTGTAGCATCCATAAAGAATTCTGGATCTCAACCAGTGGTGGCTGTCAAAAAATGCTCCTTAATTAAGATACTATTTATTCCAGACTGACAAGTTAAAAGGTCAAATGGTTCTGTTATAAAGATGTGATTTCACCTCCTGCATGCACGGGGCATCTATGTGTCATGCTTGAACTGAAACATAATCTTTATCTAAAATTCTAAACAGCGGTAATGTGATTATATCTAAGAAGATTAAGTGTTTATTTAACTTCTCTCTTTGGGGGTGCTGTATATGAAGTTGGCTCTTTGTCTATCATATTTTCTTCAGCTACATACTGAATTGATCCCTGTTACCCATTTAAAAGTCAGCTGACAGTGAATAAATATGGATTAATATAAATTATTCATTCACACCAGAAGTTGTAGAAAACCTATCCTTTTCTTTCTTTCTTTCTTTCTTTCTTTCTTTCTTTCTTTCTTTCTTTCTTTCTTTCTTTCTTTCTTTCTTTCTTTCTTTCTCTTTTCCTCTTCCTCTTTGTATTAACTCTGCTGCAAAGCCTATCCACATGAATGGTCTTTTCTCTGGAAAAAGGAATTCCTTATTTATATAGTACAACATTTTTTTTAATTTTTAAAATCTGTTTCTGTTTTGTTTTGTTTTGTTTTTTGGTGCCTTCAAGTCATTCTTGACTCCTTGTGAATGCCATGCAATTTTCCAGGCAAGATTTCCAAAGTAGTTTGCCATTACCTTCTTCCTAGGGCTGAAAGAGAATGACTGGCCACAATCACCCAGCTAGCTTCTGCCTAAGCCAGGATGTGTATTTATTGTAGATAAATTTTATATATAATTTATTTAGCAATTGATGGAGCCAAAGGAATCAGGAACCACCTATTGCCCTACATTATCCAAACATGTTCATGCCATTATATGCACCTAACATTTGTGCAAAGATCTGGTTGAATAAGCAAAACCTGCAAATCCTCCAGATTTGGACATTCCCTCCAGGCATCCAGGAATCCAGTATAATTTAAAAAGGCTATTATCACTTAAAGTTCCTGAATGTCCAGTCCTAGTGAGGCTGGGCCAGTAGAAAAGAGCTTGAAAACAAGAATCTTAGAATTTGCTGTTTGTAATAATATATTTTCAATCCCTTACTTGTTAAAGTAAAATCAAGGAGAAAGAGGTATGTATATATATATGTGTATGTAAGTAGGTGTGTATATGTGTATATATGTGTATATGTGTACAGTATATATAATGAACGTAGTGCTTTGTTGTGGTCTAACCTTTTCCCTATAGATTACAACTATCACTATTCCATTTAAGAAACTATTGCCCATACTATCTGTGGATTATAGGAATTGAGGTTGTGTGTGTGTATGATCGAGGCACTGGTTGGAGACAGCTGCTCTTCTCTTTATAAGATAAGAGACAGAAAAAAATCTGAAAAGTTTAACATAAATTCATGGTTGTAGTCGTGGCTGTTTACTGACACAAATGCCTGTGAATACAAAAAAAGTTATAATAGCCTATAATATATCTTACTCCTAATGCATTTAAAACACCTCCTTATCTAGAGTAAAATCACCTCTGAGAATAGCAGAATAATTGTGCTAAGGAACATATTTGGAATAGCAAAAAAAAAAAAAAAAAAAGCACTGTTTGATGGTACCAGACGCAGAGGAATTGTGAATACTGCAGCTTATTCTAAGTCTTTTCCCCTCATCTCATGCAGGTTTTCTGGATTTCAGCTTTTCAGAAAGGTGGAGCGAATTATAACCCTTTGCAAACAATGGACTGCTTAACAAGAGTAGCTCTCCAAAAGAAGGAGCAACAGGTTAACCAAATAGGTAATGCTTAATCACTTGTTCTTTTTTAATAAATTAGCAACAGAGAAAGAACTGTGTATGGTCTAGATACCTTAGAGCAGTGTTTCTCACTTTAACCTTAGCAACTTTAAGATGGGAAACGCTGCCTTAGAGTGATTACATGTACCTGAATTAAATTTGGAGTTAGAGTTAATCATGCTTATCTACTAAAAGAATACTTTGATTGGCCATTCAATGGTTTCAGTGGATGTTCTCATATGATTAAGACAGGAACCAGCCTACTGCTAAATACTGAAAATTGTGCTTAGGTTAAAATAACTCCAGTTCCCTGCTGTAAGATCAGATAATAGTGGTTTATCATGTTCAGTCACAGTTTTGTTTTGTTTTTCACTGTCATCTGTCCTATATGCTCTGCTCCAGAAGAGCAAAAGCTTAGTAGCAGGGAAAGTAGATGAGCACTCTTGCAGACTTTTGCTGATCTTACTTGGGACAATGAATATTCTTCTCCCTACGTTGGTGAGGGCCCTACCTGGTTGCCTTTAGGGAAACAAAAGTCCATAGGCATAATAATAACTAATGGTCAGGAACTGCACTACAGAAATTACAGGAATACATGGTCAGGATGGTAAGTGAGTGAGAAAGTTGCTACCTTATCTTAATGTTTATTTCCCTTTTTTCACTGATTTTCAATTTTGATAGATTGTTTATAAATGGTAGACAGAAGCATGGTTTTATGCTCATATAGCACAAAAGGACTTACTGAATCTATCTTGTGCAGCAGGTGAAAATCAAGGGTAGAATTGCACTTTTAATTAGAGATGCTGCTGAAGTTAATGTTCTACGGTTCACCTGTTATTCCAGCCTGAACAAGAACTCATCTTTATCCTCCTACTCATGCTGTCACAAAACAAAGAGTCTCTCCATCTTTATTGTTGTCCTGAGGAAGGGAGGGAAAATTCTGTTTTCCCAGCTGTTTTCTCAGATATAGTTGTGACTGAAATACTAGAAGCTCTGGGGAATATTATTTCCCTGGGATGCCTGATCACTGGTTTACTACCAATGGCATCAAGCACCATATATTTGGGCATGCTGATGGCGTCAATGACACAAAGAATAAGTGTTTATTCTCTTTTTCTCCTGTTAATGTTAATATAGTGAAGTAGTTAAGGTACTAGACTGAGATGGAGAGACCGAGGTTTAAGTCCACCCTCAACCATGGAAGTTCATTGGGTGACTTAGGGCCAATTGCTCTCTCTCTAAGCTAAACTTACATCACAGGGTTCTTGCTATGGGAAAAAAAATTGGAAGAGGGAGGGCCATGTATACCACCATGAGTTCTTGAATAAAATTAGATAATAAATTTTAATTTATTAATTTCTAGTAAATAAATTAATTAATTATTACTAAATACACTGGAGAAGCAGCAAAACTGATGAAACCATAGGAGGAAAGGGATGTAGGCTGTGAGCCAGCCAGACAAGTAGAGGATAGTGCTGGCAAGATGGACAGGACAATGTTGTACTACTCCTGATCTGACAGATGTGAAGAATTTGTTTGTTTATATTTCAAATTTGGACACTGCCCATCTCATGAGGCAGAGGCTTCTTGTGAGATGGGTGGTATAGATACCAATATAATGGTTTTAAAAGGACACTAGGCACATTCATGGCAGAGTGAACTATTAGTGGTTACTACTGATAGCTCTATACTATGTTCTTGAATCATAAACAGCACTCCTTAAACACCATTTGTCAGTCACATGTGAATGTTGCTGGGGAGAAATTCTGGGAGAGGCCTGTCTATGCTTTAAGCTTCCTCAATGCATTTAAGTGTTTACTGTGTGATCTGAATGCTAGACTATGGTTGCTCGCTCTAATCCAGGGAGCTTCATACAATATATTCTTGAAATTAGATTAAATATTTGTCTGATGGAAGGCCGGGGAGGAATAATTTCAGTTGGACAAGTCAAACTGGGAAGGGAGGAAATTTTCCTCAATAACTACTGTTAATCATGTAGGATTTGTTAATGTAGATGCATTATTTTAATAAAATATTAATATTCCGATAATTACTGGAAAATATCATCCCAAAAAGTGTTATCAAATTTGTGGCTGTGATAATTCTGGAAGATTTAGAAATTGTGATGCTTTATAGTGTAGCAAATAATATGGAAGCTTATGCCATATTATGTGAAAAAGCTCAAGGCAGTAGTACATAGGAGGCTGCTTTAATTTTGTCTCTATAGAAACCATCCTCTCAGGCATATTTAACTAAGAGTAGCCCAAAGTCACTCACTGAAGTCTGGTGGAATGGTGAGTTCATCTTGTGTCTCTCTGGTTCAAATCCAGCAACTTAATCACTATGGTTCATTTATTTTGTGTCAGGGGTTTGCAAACTTTTTCAAGTCACTGAAATTGCTTAGAACAAAATCTTCCCTTGAGCAAAAAGCAAAGTTCTAGTGATAGAAAATTGGCTGTGTTTGAGTGAACTTTTTAAAATTTATTTTTTGCTCTTAGTATCTCATGGAACCCCACCAAGTTCTCACATGTTCCATGGAACACAGTTTGAAAAACGCTGTTCCATAAAGTTTGACCAAATGTGGAATCCACCACTTGAGATGCTGAACCTGCCAGGGCTTGGAGACTGCATGACAGGACACAGGCAGGATACAAATCAAATTATTAACAGCAATAACAGTAATAGGAATTATAGTTTGGTAACAGGGATATACATTCTCCATTTCTGTAGCAATAGAATTTTAAATATTCTCACCTGTTATGATAAACTTCTGATGAAATCTTGATATATTCTAGCATATCATTATATTTCTGCAAGGTCAATACAAATGTTAAAACTTCAGTTCCACAGTTCCTGTTCCATTCTGTGTGACAGATCATTCTTGCAGAGAAAATGATTTTGTGACCAATCTAAGTAGAAATCCTAACCTATCAACTATGCATATGAACAGTTTCCATGATGCAACACATTCCATGGAGGAAAAAAACTCATTGCATATAAATCTGTTAAATTCTGTTCTAGAGAAAATGCACCTTGTGTTATAGATTAGACTATTTGCTCAGGTGGTGAAAAGTTTCAGACAGGTTGGGTTTGGATTTGCAATACTGTTTTCTGAGTTTATTTATTTCAGTAAAATTAAAGACATAAATGAAGGGTCTCTGACCTCCTAGTTTATTCAGTCTGAAGACCCCTTGAATAAGACCTTGAACGGGCAAGTGATTGAATAAGAAGTTAATTACTGCAAGTATTCTGAGACATGCCAAAATTTGATGTTAAAATATTTCTGAGTCACAATAATTCTGTTGATACCATAATGGGAAAAGGGGGGGAAATAGCAAAATTGTATGTCTTTAAAAAAATCTAACAAAGTAGGTAAGAGAGTTTAAACTTGGATGTGATTCTCAAGTAGCCATTATAATCTGAGGATTCTTGTAAAGGTATCCATCAAACCATACTTGTCCTTGTTTGAAAAATGAATCAATGCATGAAGCACTAAAGTATTACAGAACTTTTGGTAATCTGTCAAATTTGCTCTGACAGAGAGGTGGGCCACCAAAATTGGACAGAAGATTGAAGGGAGCTGTCACACTTCTCTACCTCTAATTCTTAGATGAATAAAAAGAAAAGCACATGAGAGTTATTTGCTCTTCCTACCCTTCTTCTCCTAGCTAACAAAAGTGGTAAACTATAGTTATTTATTTAAATATTTACATTATACAGGTAGTCCTTGATGAATTACTATAATTGGGGATGGAATTTCCATTGCTAACCAGTGTGGTTTGATGCATGGTCAGGATACCAGTGAAAGGGAGGCAGGTGAAGACAATGAAGGTCAGCTGGGGGAGGTGACGGTGGGAGGGAGACGGTCATAAAGGTGGGCTGGCTTGAATGTGACCGTGGGGGTGCTGCAATAGTCGTAAGTTCAAGGATTGGTCACAAGTCAATTTTTTCAGTGCCATCATCATTTTGAATGGTCACAAAACAAATGGATGTTAAGCAAAGACTAACTGTATATTGAATTATGCCAATGTACAAGATATTTTATAATTAATGCCAGATCCAGACATAGTTATTTATTTTAAATACTTATATACCAGCTTGATGCCAATGCACAACATAATTTATAATTAATGGGCTGATCCAGAACACTGAAATTACTTATACTTTAAAAGGTTTGCCAGATGTCTTCTCAATCCACCAGCAGACTGCTCCACCTACTGGCAGATTTCATGATGCAAAAGCCATTCCATTTCTACCCTCATCCATGTTCATCTCTCCCTTGCCATTTTCTGTTTGTTTTTTAATGGCAATGTTGCTGATATTGTTATTGCATTGGGAAGAACAGATTGCAGCTCAAACCACCAAGATGGAGTGCCTGTAGGTTTTATGTCCCTCTGATCTGGCAACTGGAGTGTTTTCATCTTTGATTCTGGACAGAGTGGCTGTTCAGACTCACTCTGGGGGTCCTCCTGTGCTCACAGCTCCTGCTCGAAGAGTAGGTGGCAGCTGTAGCCAGAGGGTTTTTGCACAACTGTGTTTTGTTTGCCAGTTGCATCCATTCCATGGATGCCTTAGTCACCTTCCAATTGGACTACTGCAATAAGCTGTACATGGGGCTGTCCTTGAAGATGATCTGGAAGCTTCATTTGGCCCTGAATGCAGTGGCACAGATAGTTAGGGGCACAGGTCCTTATGCAATGATGCTGCTAATCTGTGAGCTTGATTGGCTCCCAATAGGCTCCCAAGTGCTATTCAAGGTGCTGGTTATCACCTTTAAAGCCCTACATGGCATAGGACCAGATTACTTGCAAGATCTCCTTCTTTCAAGAATATTTGTCCACCCCACATGCTACCATAGGGAGGGCATGCTCCATTCTCTTATTTAAACATTGCCATCTTATGGACCTGGGAAACATGCCTTTTTAGCTGCTACCCCTGTGCTCTGCAAAGATCTATCTCTCCCATCTCTCCACAATATATGATAGGCCCCAACTCTGGATGCCTTTAGAAAGGTCATTAAAATTTCAGCCGTGCTCCTGCTATGACTTGTGGGTTATATACAGTATTTCCAGTGAGAGGGATTTCTTGCCATGCCCACCATCTCTACACAATGCTCAATTTTAACAATTCATTTTTTATCTATCCCAAGGCTTTATAGCTGTATGCAATCCATCTTCTCTACTTCTCTCTCCCACCAAAGTTTAGTGTCTTGCTTGTAAAACTTATAATATTCTGGTATTAGTGTAGGCATTGTTTACAACAGGTTTTCCTCCACTCCTATGCAGTAAGAGGTTTGAAATACAGCATAACTGCAAGTTTTCAGTCACTTGGAAGAATTCTGCATGCAGTTTTGAATTCTGCTGGCATGCTACCATGATTGCAGCCAGTCAGATGGATGTTTGAATTCAACTTACTGGTGTATTACCTTGTCTATGGAACTGTTGAATCTAGCAGCATTCATTTACAATTTTTACATTTCCTTCCCCCCCAGAACAATTTTGAAGATACTATTGTTCTTCACACTGCCAAATAAATGAAAACAAATAGATGTAGAAAAATACATGAATCTTGGGGCAGGAATGAGACAAATGTGTGAAATTTGGTTCCAACTGAAATCAGTTCAGTTCAATTCATTCATTCAATTATTGATTGATTTCATTTGGAAAATCAGCTTGACTTAAAATTAAATCATAAACTTTCAGCTTTCAATCTGCACAGGTGATTCAATTAAAAAGAATAAAAAAACACCGATTTGAGTTGGAGATTGAGTAAAATATCTTCTGATTTAATCTCAAAATCAGACTTCACATTCCCATGCTAGCAAGTAGTTTTATGTTCTTTTTGTGGAATGGGAAAATTAAGGGACTTTATCATGTTCTGTTGCACTGGGGACAGGACCCACAGGAAGACATAAAGGATGTACAAGTACTGGCTAGCAAAGAAGCAGCAAAAACTAATACTGACAAGCTGACATTTGTAAAAATATAAACATGTAAATAATAGTGGCTCTATGAGTAACTGCTAGAAAAAAGTAAAGACAATTTCTCACAGGAGGTATAATTTATTTATTTGCTATATGGTCATGGACCAAAAGTTAACATAAAAACCAGAACAGGGTACCTGAAAGCAATTTAACAAGGACAGAAATCATAAGAGACGATCACACTTCATAAACCCACTGATTTATCTAAATGTGTTAGTTGATGTATAGCTCAGATGCAATATTTTCCAACAGAGGTTGTGATGGCATAACACTTGCAGCTTTCCCAGAAACTTTGCTAGACTGATATTTTAATAAAAACTGATTGCAGTGGAATATAAATATAATAAATTAACAAATTTACAGTCTCTGATTGGGGTCAACCCAAACATTTGCTAATAAGAAGAGAAATTAGCATTGTATGCTAGATAAGGTCTAAAAGTCAGGTCAATGGAACATTTGCAACTGTCTCAATCTCTACCTCCAAGCATCCGTCCGTCTATCTATCCATCCATCCACCCACCCACCCATTCATCCTTTCCAGGTAAGGAAGGTCATTAAATTCCCTCTCCATGATCTTTGAGGGTAGTGCTTTCCTCTTGCCAATGTATAAAAAGAATCTGAAAATAACTCAGTGTCATTTATATGTTTCTGGGAAATGCTTGAAATCAGATGAGCATGTAATTTAGAAAACTTTTCTTCCAACCAAACATAATTCCTGCCACAACATAATTTTAAAATGTTTTATACTATAATTCAACAGGAAACCAAGGTATGGGGAATTCTAAACCTAAAATCCACATTGCTATATGCCCAGTGAATTAAATAATTCTCCCAAGTTAAGGAATTCTGACGACTGGCTTTTGCTGCAGAAAAAACCAACTGAACCTCATATTCCAATTGTGATATATAATTATGTATAATTAGGACATCATACAATATAGAAAACTACTCTTTAGCATTTTGGAAGGGTAGTGGAATACTCCTTCTAGGATTCATTAAATAATGATGAAAAGTAAGATTTAATTTTCCAAGTACACACACACTTGGAAAATGCAAATTAGGATTTTGAATACATCAATGTAATTGCATATGTCTGAACATATTAATTTGTTATTTATATTACAGTTTTTAAGTCTCTATTGAATATATCCCTCTATTGAAAGCTATTGAGCGATAGCTTTATAAGTCTGTGAATTTTTAAAAAACATCAAAGCCTCAAATTTGATAGGCTGCAACATAACTTCAGGAAAGGTAGAGGCTCAGGATGCATGAATTTCTGTTAATGGAAAAACAATGGTAATTGAGATAAACTTTGGGGTTTGATCCAACAACATCATTTTTGTGTCCATATGCTAACAAAAGAGGAGTGTGACTTTAATATAAAAATGTTTAGCTTCATAACAGCTAGAAAAGCCATACTTGCACATATTATTTTTTAGCATAAAGCATGTTTAAATTTTTGACAATGATTATATAATTATAAGTCTAATGTAAGTATTATAATGGATATATTTTATAAAACCATAATTTATCTATGAATGCAGAAAATAGTGCTACCTATAATACAAAACAAGACTAATTTGTATAGTTTCAGCAATTTAAAAATAATCTGTATTTTGGATTAAAGAATCATCCAAAACATTCAGTTTCAAAGAATAAATATTTGGAGTCAATTTATCTTTGCAGATGCCATTTTTGGCAATACTTTTTATTTTATATTTATTTTGGTCTTTATAATACCTACATTTTCAGGTTTTAACAGTTGCTGCTGACATCTGCTGTACGGC